CAGCTTCAGCCAACTTCAGTCAGCTTCAGTCAGCTTCAGCCAGCTTCAGCCAGCTTCAGCAAGCTTCAGCCAGCTTTAGCTAGCTTCAGCCAACTTCAGCCAGCTTCAGCCAGCTTCAGCCAGCTTTAACCAGCTTTAGCCAGCTTTAGCCAGCAGGCAAAAACCTGTGTGTTGCTATGACATCACTCACACATAAACTCTGTCTTCTCTGAACACTTTGCAACTATTTTCTTCTCCAGTTTGTGCCGACAGATTTCTCCTGTTTGCTGTTTATTCCTTTCTTTTTATATTTTATTCAGCCACAGTTGTTGTGGAGCACCCACAGTTTTATTATCATTGTACATATTCTAGGTTGTTAGAAAGTGAATGTCCATAATGTACACTGTCAATATAACACAAGTTAAATTATATGTAGTTATTTATATGTTGACTTCAGGGGGGTGGATGGAGTGGAGGGGCTCTGTGTCGATCAGGGGCCTCGAACATGAACGAGCTGAGGGCCACTGCTGTCGTCTCATTGGAGCCACTTTAGTGCTCAAGTAGTACAAAAACAAACAAGAGAACAGACACAAATATTTCTGAAAATGTTTTTTGTTTTTTAAAGTTCAAACTTGTAGAAGACGACTGTGCCTGTATAACTTAACTACCCGAAGCCTTTCACTGAACGACCAAACAAACACGTCGCTCCTGTGTCTGTCCCACACGTGGCAGCACTGCTGCTGTCGTTGTGTAACGACATCATCGCGCAGACACACGTGTACGTGTAGATAAACTCCAAATGCTTGGAAGTTGTAAACACGGCGAGACCGGACTCGCTGAGAACGCGAGCACAGACTCACGATTTGTACAATTGGAACACCAGCGTACTTGATGATGTCACAGGTCTGGAGTTTTTACTGCCGTCCTTAATTTAACTTTAATCACAGCCAAACCGGTTTACTCAGGAACAAATAAAACACTGAAATAAACCAAACATTAACATTTAGAAGTGATCTAAGTGACTTATATATCATGTTTAACCTCAGCAGTGAAATCTCTATTAATAAAAATAGTGTACATGCACATACGTGTACATACCTTAATAAAAACAAGCAGGTGAGATGTTAGAACGCTTTTATTTTTATTTTAGTGGACACTCAATACAATAAACAGCTACTGGGGTTTGTTTAACCTGAGTAGCGAAAAGACCCCGGGGAGTTGAAAACGATGTGCCGGGAGTCCGCTGTTCTCACCGGCTCTAATAATCCTCGACCTCGCTGTCTGCTGTGGAGCTGGCGGGTCACAGACGTCTCCGAAAACGTCGGAGCGCGTTTGTAAATATATGATATCTTGATAAATCGAGCAGCTGCATTCTCGCTTGAAAAGAACTTAAAAGTTTATTTTGTGACCCAGAAAGAGTAATATTTAAAAGTTTTTAGCCCTCCGTTTCTTCTTCAACGTATATTTTGATTTAGATTTTTGTTTCTTATTAAAGACGGTTCACTAAAAGCACGTACAGAGTTACAGCTCTCCTTTTACGCTTCCTCAGGCGTAAGTCGGGGAGTCGACTCTCTCAACAACACACCGCCCTCTGCTGACCCTGTTGTGTAATGCAAATGTGGTCACTATGATGAATGGAGCGTGCGCTGCTCTAAATGTACTCTGCTGTGTGTCAGGAGGCGTCCATGCTGCAGTGCAGTGTGGGTAAGGAGTTCCTGAGGCTGAAGGACAACGATGTCCAGCAGAGACAGAAGCTGGAAGCAGCCAATCACAGGATCACTGAGCTGGAGAGCCAGCTGGCCAGGAAAGACCAGCTGATCCTGAGCCAGAAGAAACTGCTGGAGGACACCAAGAACCAGAACAGGTCAGTCCGGCTTCACCTTCTGGAACTCTCCACACGGGAAGCGTCGGACTCAGACTGCGTATGTCGCTTTCAGGGCGGAGCTGTCGGCGTCGGAGAGCCGCTGTGCCGCTCTGAGGAGAGTTACTCAGGCGCTGCAGACCGAGATGCTTCAGCTGTACGGTCAGATCGCGGGAGGCGGGGCTCACCCAGACGGCGAGCTGCGGGACGTCAGCAGGTAAACGGGGCCATGGTCCGAGGACGCCTCGATCCCACAGAGACGTCCAAAATGATTTAACGAGACAGGCAGAACCAGGCTTTTATTCTCCACGTGTGCTTTGTTGATAAATGTTTGCCTTTCTGTGTCATGCCGTCCTCCAGATCCGACAGCGGAGCCTTACCTGATGCTCAGGGAAGCCAAAAGTCCCGCCTCCCGTCTTCTTCTGCTGTTGGGATCATGAACGGAGCAGCGGAGGTCCTTTCCACCTCCCCTGTGTCCCTCTCACTCTCCCCCATCGACTCCCCGCTGGCTGTCGGCTCCTTCCTGGAGCAACGAGCCCGACAGCTGTTCAGACCCACAGATCAGAATCAGGAGGAGGAGGTGGAGGTCGGGGAGGAGGAGGAGGAGGAGGAGGTGAATGTCCAACCAGCAAGCCCTCCACTCGGTCAGGAGGTGGAGGAGGCCACACTCCCTGTAGGAAGTCCTCCGACTGAGCCGCTGAGCCGAGCCGCAGACCCCACCGTGGCCCCCGTAGACCTGACGCTCGCCGTCCAACAGAGGAGACACGAACTGAGCATCATGGACTACGACGAGACACTGCCCGACATCTGAGGGAGGAGGAGGTGGGGGTCCTAGGGGCTCCGCCCTCACTCTGGAAAAGAGCAATAAAGATAATAATGATAAGGCAATAAGCAGGCTGATCCAAGATCAGCAAACTTTCAGTAACGATTGTTATTTATCAGGGGAACTAAATCTACAGCTAGCCTGGCTAGTATCCACAAACAAATATGCCCTCTAATAAGTGGCATCCAATCAAAAGGACAGTCGCTCCTATCCAGTGCTGATGGGAGTGGTCTGTTGGGTGGTCTGCTAGTACCGCCATAGTCTCAGCCATAGTATTGATCCATAGTTATGATAAAAGGAGTCTAGTTCAGGGACTCCAGTTAGCTGAGGTGAAGCCTCGCAGATAGCTGGCAGCTACAGCCGCCTGCATCAGCCAATCAAATTCCAGGATTTGATCTCAAGAAAGTGACGCGGCTGAAACTGTAACGCTGAAGCTTCAGAGTCGGCGACGTGCCTTTGTCCGTCTTTTTTCTACAGTCTGTGTTTCAGCTGATTTTCCTCTTTAAGCCAAAAAGTGCTTCATGCCAAATTAAACTGACTGATGATTGTTTTCATTATGGATTTGTCAGCTGATCAGTAACTGCAGACAAACCAAAGATGTGCTCCTGAAACACGGTGACAGAAATAAAGATGCAAACGTCTGTTTGTGCGTTCTTTGTTAAAGTTGTCACACTTTTCAATGCTCTTTGTTTAAAAAGATTTGCCACACATTTAAGATATATTCGAAAACCAACATTATTTTAAGGAAATTTGTGAACTTTGTTTCTAAATGAATTCTCTTATTAATATTTGACACCATAAATATGACATTTATTACTAATTATATTTGTTATAACTAGATTATTACTAATCTTTGTTTTACATTAATTTTTATATGCAATTTGGGGGTGATTGTATTTTAATCTGAATATTTGACACTATAGGGAAAACTAACCTGATGTTTTCCTCACTGACGGATTTAAAGGCGCCATTTTTCTCCAGGTTCTGGCTCAGGTGTAAAAATGCGCCAAACGTGCGGAAATGAGACTTTTCTGACGTCAGTCGGGTCCTGATCGACCGTCCTTAGTTAACCGTTCAAGAAACGTCCCCTCGTGAGCTCTGCACCGTTTGCCCTGCACGCGAGTGATGACGTCGTTCCCTAGCAACCGACTAACGCGTCGTAGCGACCGTCCCTGAGAGCGAAGAGGCGGGAAGGCCTTTGGTGTTGTCGTTATTTTCGGTTTTAACGTCGTTTTTGTACCAAAGTTCGGATTTTACCGGATACGTCTGAGCGCGAGACGTTTGTTAATGTTTCCCGCGCTTCAGCAGCCAACAGAAAGTTCCTGGGAAACGGTGAGAGGTGTTTGGACAGGTGAGAGGCCGGAAGTGGAGCTCTGAAAGCGGACGTCAACTTTTTAAAAGATAAAATCAGGTTGACCGTTAAAATGTTCGTGTTTTATCGTTGTCAGAAAATGTTTGAACAGTTGTGTGTTTAGTGTATGTTGTGTATTCAGCTGACAGCCTTTTATTTGTGGGTCCGTGTTGGCTCCCTAACCCTGAGTACAGGAGATGGTCGGTGTGCGGCGTTCAGGGCAGTCGGGACAGAATATCAGTGTTTGATCTGTGTGTGGTGGGCCTGGTGGTGCTTTCAGGGACTTCCTGATGGATGAGACGGTGAGGCCTCTGAGGATTCCTCCTCAGGCGTTCGTCTACGCCGACAAACACAACGTGGCCCAGCTGGTGCAGGTAAAGGTGCAGCTGCAGGTTTCCCACGCGTGAAGCTGCTCTACATTCACTGTGTGTGTGTTTCAGAGCATGCTGTGCAGCCTGGTGATCGATCAGCCTGTTGATCCGATCTCCTACCTGATCGGGCTGCTGCAGAGGAGCAGCGATGATGGTGAGGACGCCGTCGTGTCCCTGATGGCTTTTATTTGTTAGCATCGCTTAAAGCATTCCTTTAAAATTGTCTTTAAACACAGACCGGACAGATTATAAAGTCTTAAAATGGTCTCAGCCTTAATTCATCATTTTTATCACAGGAACACATACAGGACGTTTGCGATATCTGGAAATCCAACGAAACGCTCGCACACCTGTAAAGCTTCAGGAATTTATTCTGACGTTATTAAAAACGAGACGTAACTATGGGGCTCATCAGACACCACGTTTTACAAATGCTTTTATGCACATCTGAAATCTAAACCATTGTTCAGTTAGGATTAGAGTTCAGCACCGGAAACAGTGGCAACGATGAAGACACAAGCACACGAGGTTCTCTGACGTCAGCTACACAATAAGCAATAAAAAGCTTAAATAAACTAACAAACTAACAAATACATCTGGCCAAGAGAAGGACCGAAACACAGCCGAGGCAGAAACATGCTGCCACCCATAGGGGGCGCTCTGACTCCAGCAACATCAGCACAGACGGACACCACTGCACTCACAAACCGCTAATGATAGGTCGTGGTTCTTTGTTCTGACGTCGCTCTCAACGCTCTTCTGAAATATTGATGTGGTCGTGTGTCCACGAGACTTTGAATGCAGCGTGTTGTGTTTAAGGACAGTAAGGTGTTTCATTTCTCCTATCGGTGGTGATCTTTGGCAAGCGTCTGCAGCAGGAAACAGTCAGACTGCAGGTCATGTGACCAGCTTGTTTTCTGACGTCTGATCTGTGTCAGTCCCCAGGGTCATAGTGCTGGGACCTCCTGCTGTCGGCAAACACACCGTGGTGAGTTCAAGTGAGCGTGGGAAACTTTCAGCTGACCTCCGCTTGCTCGTTTACGTTTCTTCTTCTTCTATGTTTTTTGGGGGTTTTTCTTCAGGCCAAAAAGCTGAGCGCCGAGCTGAGAGCTGTTCACGTGACCGAAGGCAGTTTACTGCAGTACCAATCAGAGCTGAGCGTGCACGCCGAGCAGGTACACCTGATGTCTGTATCTGATCATATGATTGTTGACTCTAATGATGAAGTCTGACCTCAGAGTTGTCACTTTGTGACCAAACCGCCCGACCCCTCCCTGGTCCTCCTGTCTAGAGCCCGTTTGTTCATTCTGTGCATCATCCTGACGTGACCTGTGTTTTGTGTGTTTAGGAGCTTTCGGAGGGGGAGCTGGTTGGACTGGTTCAGCAGAGGCTGAAGGAGATGGACTGCTTCCACCGGGTGAGTCAGCCTCACAGTCCGGTTAGCATAAAGCATCATTAAACATTCGTGCCGTGTTCGCACAGACCTGGGTCAAAGATGGCCGGCGCCACATGTCACGACCCGTTTGAAACGTCCCCCCGTTACAATGGTCCCCCCTGTTAGAAACGTCCCCTGTTAGAAACGTCCCCCGTTACCCGCCTCACTTGCGTCTGTGATTGATGATAATTAGCGCTCTGGTCTCCGTTGTGTCCTACTACGATTCCCAGCAGGCCGAGCAGCGTTCTCCCCGAGGACAGGCTGATCAAAGCGATGCTGCTGTCACATCATGTGTGTTATATTCACACGGGCCGCTCCTCGCCGACGCTCCTCGTTAGCATCACGTCCCGTTTGCGAGGGCTGCTTTCAGATCAGTTTAAGGCAATGAAAGACGGAGGAGCAGCTGTCACAACAACAGCGACACAAACTGAACGCCTTCAAGCGGCATCGTGCTCAAAACGCATCCAGACAAATAAAGACTTTGATCGGCGGCACCTGTCCCAGGTTACCTGCGCTGCCGGGAGGTCTGAGAGGGCGGGGCTTTTTGCAGGAGGTCTGGAAGAATTCTGCCTTCTTTTGCAGTACTGCAGCTTTGAGCAGGACCCAGTCGCAGCACAGGTCCAGTGTCTGTGGTGTCCGCTGAGGTCTCTGCAGCCCCACAGGGGGGTTTCTAGTCTGCTTCTTATTGTTGCTCAGTGTGAAGAAGTTCAACAACACATCTCCGTGTCTCTACACGATCAGCTGCTGGACCCGTGTGATCAAACATGGCAGACAGGAAGTTTATTCCATGTTTAACGATCAGAGTACATTCAGAATGAAACACACTGCCTTGATTTTTCTACAAGGTCAGGAAAGAGAGCGGTGTCGAGACTTTAGTCTGGTATAGTTTGAGTGAACATTTTATGTAATGAAGGGAAAGAACCATGTGTTGTGATTGGTTCAGGACATACCTGTCTGCCCTCGGCTACCCTCCGCCACAGGTCGGCTGATCTTTATTACTCTGCTTTCACTTGGTTTCGACGGGTACGCCAAAACGTAACTGCTCTGCTGCAACATTAGTGAGCAAAGCTTTAACAACATTTCCTGTCAAAACTTCAGAGAAGCAGAACAAACAGAAGCTGTTTACACCTCAGCCTGTAAACGAAAGATGGACACGGCTCGTCACATCTCAGCTTCTCATGTGACTCACTCCTGCGAAGATCTCACTGAGACAGCTCCACTCGTCACAGTGTGTGTGTGTGTGTGTCATTAGCAGCTTCTTTGATTTGCTAATAGCTGTTTTTGGCTGCAGGCTAAACTCGTCACACACACACCAGGGACCGTCTGTGTGTGTGTGTGCTGAGGATGACTGACAGGTCCCGTCAGGACGCCGCCTGCTGCTGTCACATTAAATTGTGCAACTGTGCGTCCGGCAGGAGCGTGGATGTGCAGATGAAGATGAACCGTTAGCACTTCCAAGAGCTTCCAACAGAACCGGGACAGAACAGAGAGCAGGCACCTGTCAGTCTAACAGGCCACACCCCTAACAGTGCACCCTTTAGCAGCCCCTCCCTGAGCCCAGTTCTGCTGGAGGTGTCTGCCTGTCACACAGGAGTTTTTCCTTCCTGCTTGTTCATATGGAGGGGTCTGATTGGTGGGTTTCTCTGTGAAGCTCTGTGTCAATAAAGCTGAACTGGATCAGAGACACGTGCAGAAGCTCAGAGTTGGAGCTCTGACGGAGGCGTCTGAACCTTCAGACACACTGAACACATCACCTGCTCATCAGCTGGGATCATGCTGACCTCTGAACCTGCACACACACACACACACACAGCCTGACATCTGTGTGTGTGTGTGTGTGTGTGCAGGGCTTGATTCAGCCTGGCAGGCAGCATTGAGGAATTATAGCTCGCCTTTCAGCCTCAAATCACTTCATTGCTCTTAGTTTAATGAGCTCACTAATAAGGCAGCGATGGGCGGAGCCTCACATTCACACAGCTAAACACAACAAAGCAACGCCAAAAGCACAAACAGGACACCTGAACCTGACATTACCTACACTCTGTGTGTGTGTGTGTGTGT